TACAAGTGTGAATCCTTCTGTGTGCATGTGTGTATTATGAGACTGTTCTGAGCCCATAAGGAAGAGCCTGTTTTCTGCAGCATTTCCCATGAATAACACACCACTAATTCCCAGACTGGTTTATTATTCAGTAAAGAAAGATGAGAGTGTTTGCATCTTGCAGTCCTGCACAATATGACTTCTATGTGTGAAGTCGGCACTGTGTCTGTTTCAGTTAAGCTGATAATACTGTTGTTATCTTCTGTTTCACTTGATGATGATTCACTGATGTTTTCCGCAGGATTTAAAAATATCTCACTGACAGCGAGGGGGTGAGGTCACGCTGGACTGTAGCTGTCACTCACTCTGCGCATCAGTCCATTTCCCCCTGTCAGTCTTCACCCGGTGGAAATCACAAGTCATTATCTGCTCTTCTATTCTATGTCTCTATGACAGGATCATAGGTTGTTTAAAGTAATACTCACTAACCACATCTTGTATGGTTATTCGCCTTCTTTTTGTAAGTTAGATGAAAAGGACAATACCACTCTTGTTTATGACTTAAACATGAAGCTAGAGCTATGAGCCAATGCAAAGCATGAGAACACATTTAAACATATTTAAACTTTAACTTCACACTGTACATTTTACATTTATATTTAATTTAATATGCTATTCTTTCACACTAAATGTAAATAATATCTTACTTTCATATTGTGTTAGCTGTAATTTTGCCCTTTAATAGTGTTTTATTGTCAGATAGTTTTCAGATTTTTATCTTCATGGTCAACTTTCATATTTTTTATATTTTCAAAATGTTAGTTCTATTTTATCAATAAAAATAAAGTATATCTTATCTTATCTTACCTTAAACATACACCTCTAAAAGTCACAAACAGAAATATAAAACAATAACTCTTTGGTTTTAGGGGGAGTTACGTTATATCACTTAGATACTTACAAGCATTTAATCCACCAATCACTTCCTCCAAGTGGAGTTTGGGGCTGCTACATCGAATGGATGAACACAAGTTGTAGCAGGCAGTCACAACAGGCCTCCATAGAATCCCTGAACCCAGCTGAGAATACATATATAGCTCAGTTTTTTAGATTGTTTGTTTGTGCCTTGATAAAACAAACACAATAAACATGTTAAAGTTTTACTTAATAATCAAGTTTATGTTTGTTTTGTAACATTCGGAAGTAAACAAAGTCACCACGTTAATGCTAAACTAAACTAATTTCCCCCTTGGCTCCAGCTGCATACCTCACACATAAACATAATAGTAAATAAGCATATTTTTCAAAATGTAAAGCTATTGCAAAAAAGTAATTACTATTGAACGTTCGGTTGGTCCATTAGACATTATTATTCTGTGGGAGCCCTCTGCCTTGTCACCCTCACTGAAATAAAAGCGGACTTATCATGACATATGTACCTTGTACTGTGAGAGAGTACTTCTGAGAGAGCTGCAGCATATATTTAAAGATAACTGTTGGTTTTAGAATAATCAAAAACAAACTCAAAGGCAAGACCCGGCCACCCAAAGGCAGACTCTTCCATCCTGGATTGTGGCCCTCCCAGGAGAAATCAGCATTATTATTGACAAGGTGTAGGCCATGGATTTATTTTAAAAGAAAGTGTAGGACTGAACATATTTGAAATTTGTGTAAATGTGTGATAGTCATCGCATACTGTAGCAGCCTGTCAGAATACACACAGGCCTCTGTACTAACTGTGTGTGTGTGTGTGTGTGTGTGTGTGTGTGTGTGTGTGTGTGTGTGTGTGTGTGTGTGTGTGTGTGTGTGTGTGTGAGTGTGTGTGTGTGTGTGTGTGTGTGTGCGGTGGTCAGCCCTGAGTGACACAGGAAGAAGAGGAAATATGGCAGGGAGTAAATATTTTAACATCAAAATTCACATTTAATAAAAGTAAACATCTGTGTTTGCGGTAGTGTTAATGCTCATTGTCGTTATGTAAGTGTGGGTTGCCATGCCGTAGTTGGTGTTGACTTGTACTGCCTCTAAGTGTTGGAATTACAGAGGAACAATAGCTGTTGGCATAATTCTAGTTATGGGAAAACAAGCAAACAATTAAAAAAATGTCAGAGTAGCTTTTAAGGTGCGACAACGAGGTATGTACTGTAAGAGAGCGACTTCATGATTTTTGAACAGGCAATCATTGTGATCAAGTGGATAATTCCTCCCTCTCTCTCTGATTGCTCTCTCCATCTACCAGCCCCTCTCCTCCTCTCTCTGTGTTATGCTTGAACTCTGTGAACCTTCCTTTTCCTCACAGCTAGTGCCACAGCAGCGAGGATGAAAGACTCCCTTCATGTGTGAATAAATACGGTCTGACAGCACCTCTCTATCACTCCAGCTCACATGCACTATTCTATCCGCCGTGACTGGGATTCTGTGTGATCTGTGTTCGCGTGTGTGTGATGTTTCATGTCAAAAGGACCTGCAGTACAGTTGAAATAATGACCCAGAGTGAGTGGTATCTGGTCTGGTGAAGTGAAATGTGTGTGTCTGCACTGTAGAGACACAATCACAATGCAATGAAAGATAGCTGTACAATCCGTGTGTATTTATTCTTGTAAAATGACTAATACCAACAGAGGATGAGTAAGAGGATCCCATTTCATATGGACAGCATATGTGTGAAGATGTAGGAGTGATAATCTATATGTAAAGAAAACAATAACTCGTTTTTGGCTCAATGTAGCCTCCTTGCTTTGTTTCAGTGTTTTTAAGTTGAAGTGAACACCACCAGTATCCAACATAGTGTCTGTGAGACTAAGGGTGATAGAAAAAAACGGTTTGTTTGTTTCTGAACTCACTTTACGACTTCCTCCCAGTGGGAATCAAGTGATGGGAGGACAGGAAGCAACGTGTTTACAACTCTGTTTGTCGTATGTGTGTGAGAAAGAAAGGCAGATATTGCAACCTTGAAAACTCTTTTCAGATCACAGTTTCTTAGCTTTTAAAAAAACGTTATTTTCATGATCTGGGGCTCATTGTGTTCATGCTTCTTATTATGATAATAGTTTACTCACAGTCAGCATTGCAGTACCTCAGCAAGTACACTTAGTAAAGCCGTAAAAGGTAATGCACCGGTCAAGCCCTTGAGTGATAAGACATGCTTTAAACAAAAAAACTCCTTAACATTATCTTAACCACTTATCCAAAGTCAATAGTTAAAGAGTAGAAGCAACTGAGCCCTTAAAACATCCATAACATATTTTAAAGCTATTCCTGGTGGGACCTTGACATAATGTACATTCAGAACTGTGTACATAACATTGTTTATGTTTCTCCTTTTTCACTTGACCATGTGGTTGAAAAACACAATCTGTGACAAACACTGGAAGAGGCCAACACCCTCTGAAAACATGTTGGTCTTGACTCTGATTTACAGCTTTGCACGCAGCTGTAAATATGTCTTTGACATTTTCAGAGTATGCTTGGTTGTCCATGAGCTTAGATGATCGGTTGCAAACCTGAGTCATTGCCTCCTTTCCATCCAGCAATACATACTGCTGTTGAGTAACATCTTATCACAGTTGATAGGAATGATATTATCATGCAGTCACTGTGTCAAACCAAATGGGCTCATTTAGGCTCAATGCATCAATTGTGACTTTAATATAGTTATCAACAGCTTCCAATCTGAGTTGATACTGAGGTAAAAACAAATGGTTTCAACTCTGGAAGCGTTTTCTGAGAACTGAGGTAATTAATGTTCTCTTTCTGTGACTGCCGCTGCCTGCCGCTGGCTACAGGACAACCAGCTGTAAACAGCAAGAGCTTATTAAAATGCTATTAAACAGATCAGCAGCACCGTCTCATTCTGTGTCAGTGTGTTACAATCATAATCCTGGAGGTTGTTTTAGCTACTCACTTTATTTCCAGTTTCTGTTGGCAACAGATTTAGAGAGGTGTTATGTTCGGTGCCAGCGAGCTGTCTGACTAATAACTTTTTCAGGTGTTTAATTTATTCTACAATTTGTGACACTGTCATATACCTACTTTATGTTTACTTTGGAAGTTATAACATTTCTGAGAATACACCAGATTACTTTATTCAATGTTCATTTCAAGCCAAGAAATATCACAAATCCACATTGAATAATTTTGGTATTACTTTTACAGTATCAGTTATTTTGTTATTTAATTGTATTTCTGTGTCAAATGTCCTTGCTAGCTCATCATATTCAGTTATCCTTATAGTCAAAGATGCCCAATTAAGGTTTTTCGGGTTTTCCCTTTCCTGCAGTGTAGGTTTTTGAGCATGTCAATGGTCGGCAAAGGCTATAATCCCTGTGTTCCCTCCAGAGGGAATTTTCTCTCCCCCACACTCCCCCCCTGCCTGAAACCCCTCCATTAGACTCCTTTGTTTACTTCTGTAACATAATGACATCAATATGTAACGCTTTACTAACAATGCTGTTATTTGCTAGTGCTTCAACACGGCCAGCTAACCAATCAGAGCAGACTGGGCTCTGGTTTCAGACAGAGGGTGAAAAGAGGTGCTGCAGCACAGGCAGTATGAGAAAAATAAAGACCTTTTTAAGCATTTAAGCATGGAGACAGTGGAGGCACAAAATACAAATATGAACCTGAAAATGAGCAGAATAGGGACCCTTCAAGTTGAACTCAAGTATTGGTCACGTAACTTCTTTTGGTTCATTTTAGTCAATGAGAGTAGCTGACAATTTTAGTCTTTTGTATCGGATTATATTAAACATTTGTGGCAATATTCTATTCAAAATACACCTTGTCTGTTTCTACCAAGTTCTGTTGCTATCATTTTAAACTTTAAGTTTCCCTGTGTGAGGCCACTGTATTCCTGATATGATGCGTGCAGCACAGGAAACAGAAGTGCTGCATTGAAAAAAAAGGTTGTGGATAAATAAAGCCAAACTTAATAATTACTCGTTGCTCCATGTATTCACGAGTGACACTGTTTCCTAAAAGCAAACAAGCTGAACAAGTGAATGGAATGACTCGGAGGCAAGAAGGATTTTTTTGTAGTCATGAAAACAGTGGCTTTTTAATGTAAACACTACATTCGATTGGTTTTTCCAGCACGGACATCCCACATGAAATAACAACCATTCACTAAAAAGGAGTAGAGGGAGAGAGAGAGAGAAAAAGAAAGCTGCACAGAAAAGCATTCACTGGGTAAAGAACAGAACAGAGGTTAAAATAAAAAACAATGAAGGGAACAGGAACAGAATGCCAAAGAAACAGGTATATCATGTCATTATACACAGTATTTTCTCTTTTCAAAACTAGAAATCAAGAAGGCAAGAAAAAGAGGTCTATATAGATAGATGAGGGATAACATAGATTAGGTATGAACAGATAACAACTTTCCAAATCTACTTATTTTGTGTGTGTGTTTGTGTGAGTGCCTGCAAGTGTGTGTGTGTGTTACGTGAGAACTGTGCTTTTCATTGTAGACCTGGAAGGCGTGTATTAAACTGAAAGGAGACAGAAGAAGGAGAAAGGAGCATGACTTTATACAGCGTTGATGTGTGAACATGCGGCGTCCCTAACTAGCGGACACAGCGAGAAACGTGCTCTCCCCAAAAAAAGTGGTTCATTTCTTCTGAAATAATAAAAAATAGATATCGTTATAATATTATATTTAATCGTTCGGAGTCAGGCTAAAGTGAGGACACGGTTCTAATGCAGGGAAACAGGCAAAAAGGTAAAAGGAGAGGGGGGGGGGGGGGGCACAGTTCAGAGCATTACAACAACACGGGGTCAGTCGGAGATCGTCGTGGTCCCATATCAGCTCGCTGTCAAAACCCTTTGCAAAACAGCTTTATTATTAGAAAACTGAGACATAGAGAAAAAAACGTGTCATAGCTACAAAGCACAAGAAAGACCTTTTGAGAATATATCAGGATCATTGTGATCGTAGTCGTTCATGTTGTAAGACCCTCGCTCGTTGGTTTAATTATTTTTTGTGTTTTATTTTTAACTGTTTGAATTTGTTGTGTTACTGCAAGAATCTTCAACTCTACACGTCTTCTTCCATCCTCCAACACAACCTTTATTTGTATTGGACCCCCTCCATCAGGAACCAACCCTCGCCTCGTTCTGTAGCTGCTATCCGTCTTTTGAGCTCTTTTCTGGTGTATCTTTTTTATTCATCTTTTGCAATTTTTATTAAAACGTTTTCTTTTGTTATCGTATTATCTCAACAGTATCTATGTGAAGCTTTTTTTTGTAGTTTTATGAATGAACTGGTCTCTTTATACAAAGGCTTGAGTATCTCATGCTATCTGTGTCAGGGCTTTAGTAGGAAGAGAAGAGGAGGGAGGAAATCAGGACGACATGCAACAGAAAGAGAGATGGGTGGAGGTGAGAGAAGTAAAGGCATGATGGTGGTGTGAAATTGCAGAGAATGAGAGAGAAAGTGGTATGTGTAAGAAAGGTGATCTATCAATACATTAACTAATAAATTAATCAAAACCCAGGAGGAAGGTTCCTCACATGGAGAATATTAGTAGGTCATAACAGTGTGGAAGGTAGAGTTATGACGTTGTGTACCTGCTTCTAAAAAGCGTAGCTATCTACAGAACAGTACCTCTGTTACATGGCACTGATGGGACATTTAGCACATTGCCTATTGGCTCTCAGACTCGGCCACAACTGACGGTTGGCAAATGGCTAAGGCCTGTAGTGGGAAACAGGAAGCTTTACTGCCTGTTGAATGAAAACTGAATTGGGGGGCAATAAAATGATACAACTTGTTAAAAAAGAAATGTTTTGATTTCAAAAAGGCTAATGTAAACAAAAGACTTACTGTACGCTAAAATTGGTGTTGTCAGTTTCAGCAGGTCTCAAGTTTTTTATTTAATGTTATCGCCAACCTGCCTGGTGATCTTTAGTGCTATCAACATTTGCACACATTTCTGCAAAAATTGTTATTACATAATCACTACTATACCAAGAAAAACAACTAATACACAAATAAGAGGTGTCAAGGTGAGGCAAAATGTGAATAAAAATCAGTGTACAGACTGATAGTCATGTAATAAATATACACACAATCGACAAAAATAAAACAGATTCATAGTAGTAATACAAAAAAACAGCCAAAAAAAGAACAGGTTTTGTTTTTGTTAACAACAAAAGACACAGCGGAAAAGAAAAAGGGAGCAGGACGGGGAGCGGAGGCTTTCAATGACTTTGTTCAAGACGTTTTCCAGGTCGCAAGGTTTCGTGATTTTTTACTAATACAAATTAATTTGCCTGGCAGCCGGCCAAAAATAAACTGGAGGAGAAGTCGGAGCGAGAAGAGACAAGAACTAAAAACATTATATATATATATCTTTTTTTTATATATACGTATGCCTATTTTTTTTAATTATCCTCAATATTAATATGTACCTAGTTCTTTCTTTTTTTCTTTAAATAATCAGCAGAATCATCATCGTCATCATCACCATTTCCACAGCAGTGTCAAAGGAACAGGAACGAGGAGGGGGAGGAGGACAGGAGGGGCGAGAGAGAAGAGGGGACAAAGGCGGAGGACATTACGGGGTGTGTGGGGCGGGCTCAGTACAAGCCACACCCTCGGAGGTTGTTAGCGATGATGATGTCGGTCACGGCGTCAAACACCACCTGGATGTTTCCTGTATCTGTGGCGCAGGTCATGTGACAGTAGATTTCCTTATTTGGAGAGCGGTTCTTGCTCTCGAACTGTGCTTGAATGTAAGCTGCTGCGTCATCGTAGGTATTGGGTCCTGGAGGGAGGAGAGAGAGAGAGATGGAGAAGTTGATAGGTGAGACAAATACAAGTATCAAAATGTACACTACCACGATTTTACGCTATGGCAGAATCCCACAAACAGAGATTAGATTATTACCCTGTGAGGTTTCTAGCATGCGTTTGTTTTAAGTACGAGTGTGTTTTCGCATGCTGAAGACATGTCATTAAACAAAGAAACCTTACCAAACCTCAGTAACACTATGAGAAACTCTCACAGCTATTTCTCACCTTTTAATATCATTATTACTTAAATATATACAGCAATATATATATATAATATGACAGTATTAACCACTTAAATGGATAAAAATGCTTGTCACAGAATCATTGACAAATGCAAACACAATTAACCCATTGTCATAATTACTTATAATTCCTATTTTAACTATAGTTAACAATTTATGAAACAGTAGTGTAGTGAATTATAGTGCGCAGTCATTTTAAAGCATTTGACAGTCAATAAAGTTCAATAAATTGTCATAGTTTTACAACAATTGACAAGGATCAGCAATTCTCCCAATGTTTTGTTGTCTTCCCATCCCCACTGTGTTGCGCACAACACTCACGACAACATAGCGCATATTACCAGAGCCTGCAGATTAAAACACACCGTGCACTTTTTCCAGACCCCAAGACCACTGCTGGAGTCATATAACGGATACAAAAGCAGTGGAAAAACCTCCTGCTTCCCTGACGTCACCATGTGGTTACCTTTTGCCTTCCCCGTGAGTAATGTAAAAAACAAATGGTCAACGTCAGAAAAATGTTACAGTTCAATATCTGGTGGCTTTCTGCCGGGGAGGAAACTCCAGCTTTGGTTTTAAAATAACCTTCTGCCAAGATCGTCATCTGATATCTATGGTGGACGTTGTAGAGTTAGGTCATTTGATATCCTAAACAATTTGGACATTTTCCCAGCAGCAATATTAAGTTACAAGAGAAAAGAAAGAGGTTAGAAAAAGGGGTTTTCCGTAAGAGGTCAATTAAGGTGCATTTTCTTTATCTAGAGCAACAACACAGTAAATTGCTGGAGTAGTCCTTATTTCCATGTTATGATTCATGAACCATAACACCATTAGTTTGACTTTAGTTGCATAGGGTTAAAACACAACTCTCAGAGGCTTCTCACAGGACGTTAGTATGTGATGAGGCAGAGGAAAAGTACTAACATTTCATATAGACTGACTGTGATTATCAAGGCGGTTAGAAAACAAGTAAAGCGTGAATGGATCGTCTGAGAGCTGTTTGTGGGAGAGAGAGCAGGAGACAGCTCTCACTTGCCATCAGTTTCTTCTCTCTTCATGGCTGCCGAAGCGTGACTGTCTCCTGCTCTCTGACTCACAATCCCTTCCTTTTCCCTGCCACATCTGACTGTCACCTCCACGTGAAGTTTTCCTCCCCCTCACAGCTTCTCAGCTGGCGCCCCTAACCCCCCCTCTTCCTCTGTTTATTACAGTAAATCAATGCTCAGGATGCTCTTTGAAAACTGAAGTCACACAGTTCTTTCATCAAGCAACATCAAACATTTGCTTTCGGCTAACACCTGATAATTCACGCTGAGAGCAGCTGCTTTGATTAAAAGTGACACATTTTTCAAAGTGGTTTACAACTCAGTGACAGTCAATGACCGGATCGGTTCTCGCAGCAGGGACAGTGAAAACAAACGTATCTTCACATTTTGTAAAGCTATTTCACTTCATAGATTTAACTGCTGATAATCATTCAAACTTTACATCAGATTTCAGTATTTTGAGGCTCAGAGCCCCATTTATTTTCCTCACGGACGGCAAAAAAAGTCCGACATTATACGATTTAAAATAAAAACAATAATCAGTGGCGAGCTGTCAGGGCCCTCTAGGCCCTCTGTGAGGGCCTAAGATATTCCAAAAAATAATATTTAAAAACATTAAAAAAATATATATTTTTTTTAAAATATATATTTTTTTAATATTATTTTTGTTATATTTTTCATTAGTTTTACCGAAAAAAAACTTGATTTAATAAAATAACATTTCCAAAGAAATAAATCCTTCGAATCTGCCTGTTCAGTCTCTGTTTGAATGTCAGTTACTATAGCGGGCCTCTCTGCGATTCACAGAGGGCCCGCTATAGTAACTGAACGAGAGAGTAATGTCAAATGACAGTACAATTGACCAATCATATCTTCCCTCTAAATGGGTGGGTTTTATTATCGCGGACTTTATGACGAGTTCCGCCCGCTGTGAAACTGTTCTTGTTTCCATAGCAACAACAACTTCCTGTCAACAGCGTGAACTCGCCTTCAAAATAAAAGCATGCCAAATTACACTTAAGACATACAACTGCAATGAAAGTAACAAACACAATGCAATATCATTTTCAATGTCAAAGAACACAAATTGGGTTCACAGGTGTTGTTTTGTGTGGTAGAGGGTCGCTGTCATTGATGCGTTTTGCACCCTGGGCCGTTGTTTTGATATTCCGCTGAAGTATACGCTGTGACGTAATAACGTCTTTTTTTCGAGGGAAGGGGTGGGGGTCAGAGGGCCTAGGTATAAAGCTCACGGCTCGCCACTGACAATAATCGTGGCTTGATATTGAGGAAGAACATGTTTTTATGAACCACACAGCTTCCGGTCTTCCAAGACCCGACCGGACAAAAAGACGTGTTGCAGGCACGAAACACACTACCAATAGAAATACATTGCTTTTCAAATCGTTCTGTGTGACACGACAAAAAGGGGAAAATCGTGTTGGTGAACACGAATCAATAGATGAAATGTCGTGACTATAACACGAAATGCCGTGAGACTGGGTTGTAACACCATTACAACTCACACATGAAACATGACACTTTTTCTGTGGATTAGACAAACGAGGTCAATTAGTGAACTTTTGCAGTGCTGCTAGGCTTGTTTTGTAATTGTTGGACAAAGCCAGGCTAGCTTTCCCCCAGGCTTTATGCTAAGCTAGGCTAACAACTCCAGCTAGGCTATACTATTGAACATACAGGTCTGAGAATGGTATTATTCTTCTCCTCAATTGCTCAACAAGAAATGTATGTTCATAACTGTGAAACTTTCTTTAAAACTGCACAAAAAATCCACTTTTTAAATCAGACTTTTATGTACTGCAATAGTCATCTTGTTTAGCAGATGAGCAGCACTGTAAACCTCTTTCCTCAGTAATGTGAGCGAAGCTAAAACGGTACATCTGTGTTCTTGTCACTTTGTTTTCACATGTTATCCCCTTATAAATTGATTAGTCAATTTATGGTATATCAGACTCTTTCTCTGTCTACATAATTAGATTCATTTTCCCTGGTCGGCAGCTTTTTGTCTTCCCTAAGAAATCAATTCTAAGCACCTGTCACGTTTCAGTGCTGCTTACGTGTTTTGAGAGCTATGCACTTAGGATAACTGTCATCTTTTTCTTCCTACCTGTGTATTCGGGGAAGCAGATGCTGAGTGCAGACTTCTTGATCTTCTCTAAAAACAGATCCTTCTTGTTGAGGAAGAGGATGATGGAGGTGTCGATGAAGAACTTGTTGTTGCAGATTGAGTCGAACAGCATCAGAGACTCATGCATGCGATTCTGTGGAGGAAGTATGAAGAAAAAGGGGGAGGGAGAAAGGAAGAGATTGAAATAAAAGAAGGATGACATTGAGGAAGGAGGAGAGAGGAGAAAGATGCCAGGGAAGGGACAGAGAGTGAGAGAGAAGGGAACAGTTATAATCAATCTAAAAATAGACTGAGGAAAGGATCAGGCCAGAGTTCAAATTTGTTTTTACTTAAACACAAAGAAAGAGAGAAAATTGCAACACCCCAGCTTCTTTCTCTCTTTCCGGTTAAAACTTTTGCAATAGAGAGAAGAATATTAAATAAAACATTTTCTAAACGAGTATAGTGCTTGTGCTTCTCTGATTAAATTCAGTACAACTTTACAGACAATGCTACCACATGTGGGGTGATTCATTTGTCTCACTAACACCAACAAGAAACAGTGCAACCTAGCATTAAATGAAAAATATGCACACACACAATCATTAGGTCAGGAAAATAATCACACACAATATCAAGATACTTATGTGGTGCTTTATTGTCATTTGTCTTATGTATAAATACAACGTTCAATAAATTATCACAGCAGTGAGCGAGATACAGCAGATATATTTTACTTACAGTGCTCAATACAATACCCCACCCACACACTTACATACACACACGCACAATAAACAAGCTTGTAGATGTTGCTGTATGACCTGTACAGTATATATTGGTTGGTATGGACAGAGGGGTTAGATAAAGTGGGTAGTGGAGGGCTGAAGGTTAGAAAAGCGACGGCAGTAAGGGAAGCTAAACGCGAGGACTTTCAGCAGCTCATACTCGGACTCCTTTATTCGACACAGGTTCATTACGGCCACGCGCCCTGCAGCTTTCTCAATGCTCTCCCAGTCCAGAGCAGGATCTCCCTGGCTGTGCGGAGGCTTAAGTGCTCATTATGTAGAGTGGCAACTAAACATAACAAACAACGACTCGGAAGCATTTACAGGCAAAACTCTACTTGTACATTTGAAGCATAAATAAGTAAGCAAAAAGGGAGCTCATTCGAATCTCCAAAATTCAGTCAAGACGGTTTGGCTACTTTTTGGAGATTTCAGAAATGGTTTATATTGCAGAGGCATTGAATTGGCACATGGTGCTGACTCTTCTTTTGTGCCACCACCTGCTGTCCAGATACATAAGGACCTTTGTTACATGAATAGACCACTGATTGTGTTATGTTACAGTTACCCGTACACCGACGAGCCTGACTTCAGACCACAATACTTACAAATCTCTCTTTCGCTGCAGCTTATACAGTAGGAGAGTATGATTTATGGCTGGGATTGGCGGGGACATAAACTACGTTATCCTCGATCCTCTCTGGTTCGCTCTGATGTTATATTTCACTTGTTAGGATTCATTTGAGAGGTTTAGGTGTTAAGGTTACATGTACAGCACTTTGGCTCGACCAAAAATCGCTTTTAAATGTGCTATATAAATAAAACCTGATTTGATTTGATTTGAAGGTTGGCACGTGGAGGACTAATAAGTGGGCATTTTTTGGTCCAGTAAACCAACTATTATAATAAAAAAAATCAAGAAATTCCAATTGAAATTGCCACAATTAGGGGAGGATCTCACAGGGGCTGAGTTAAGTCATTTGAATAAAAACATATATATATATTTTTTTAATCACTTCTTAATTGTTTATTAGGTGACTTTAATAGTGTACACATTCTGAAGTTCTACCCAAAAAGCTACTCAATTTAATAAGGTATGCTGTTGTGATTCATAGACATTATTTAAAGTATGCAAGAAATAGTAATGCTCCTTTAAAATCTATTTAAAATGCATCTAATTTGCTACTGAATAATCCGTGGAGCAGAAACGTGGATTCGTCCTGTTCTCTGCGCTGCCTGAGGTTAACACAGGCATGAGAGAAGCTAGAGGAGACAAAGCTCCAACAGTACGCAGCCATTGCTACCCCGAGGGAAAAAAACAAATGTAGGCATATCCTTTCAGCTGCATGTGAATTGGAGCTTGCTAACCTACTGTGGATACAAAATTAACCAGCCCATTGTTCCACAGCTCATGTCGACTGCTGGCTGCTCTTTCAGGCAGAAAAATAAGTACATGAATGTAGAAAAATAAAAGCTTTCCACACCGTAACCTGCCCTGCATTAAGTGAGGATGATGATCGACAAAATGATTCAGTAGCAGGGCATTTGGGACGGATAATTTGTTTAATGTAATTTAGTGCTTCTATTGGTTCAGGTTCTACTATAGTGCAAACGTTAAAATAGTGACAACAGTTTGTTTTTTCTTTTCAGTATACTGCATTCAAAATACCCTTGAAATGAAAGCAGAAAGGCTCAGCATGTCAATGGGAAATATTCTTCTACAGTATGGACATTCCCATTAGTGGAAAGCGAAGTTAAGAAGTGCATTCAGAGACTGCTTTTAGATGATCTTATTTGTACATCTTTACGGGACAAACCATTATGATGTGATTTCTGCACAAAGATGATTTCTCATATAATTCATTTCAGAAGAGAAGATTACAAAGTAAAAAGCCTGCAGCAGCGGCCGGCTTTATGTTTTGCATAAGAACCAAAAAACATCCGAGGCTTTCTGGTTGGATATGGGGGTCTTTTTTTGCATTTATAAGTCCCCTGGGTGTGCTAGTGCCTTCAGTGTATATGCGTGTGTTGAGAGCCTATGTGTGGAAAGGGTAGACCGGTGCCTTCTGGGTAATCAATCCACATATACTGTCTCCAACACACACACACACACACACACACACACACACACACACACACACACACACACACACACACACACACACACACACACACACACACACACACACACACACACACACACACACACACACACACACACACACACACACACACACACACACACACACACACACACACACACACACACACACACACACACACACACACACACACACACACACACACACACACACGTAACTAAATACTTAAACTGAACTTAGTCGGTAAACACACACTTATACATACAAGGAACATGGAGAGAAACACGGACAGAAACACACACACAAAGCACGCTGATCAACAGTTTGTGGATCTCTAATTGTTGGCACAGATGTGGTAGGAAGGGTCGGTGACGTAATCTACGTTGAAAAATAAATTGCCTTGCTGTATCAGTGTGGGGGGAAAAGTGGTATGAAACAAATGCCCTGCTCATAAATAATGAAAGAAGCAGAGAGCACTCATAACAGCAAAGCTGTAAACACACTCAGCTCAGTCTATACAACAAAGTCCTGAGGACAAACTAAGCTCAGTCCCTACAGTATATGTAAACTGTTGCTTATAAAGAGATGAGGAAGGCGCTCATGATATTTACCTGGTATTTAATGTATCTCTTTGGCTTTAATGTCAATGCTCACACTTGGACAGTTCCCACACATTGCACACAACACTTTTCATGGTATCTAAACCACAGTTCAACCCTACAGCAGCTTTGGGACAACTTTACTTACTGCTATCGAGCACAAATTGGGGTTAAAACAATAGTCACAAGGTCGACATTCAAGTCCCAGAGGATGAAATGTACTCACCAGCACACCTCTCTCTCAAAGCTCACCTTAAGAGAGAGAGGTGGACAATTGTGATAATGCACTGTGCAGCGCCATACAATGGATGTGGCCCCAGGGCCCTTCAAATCAATGCTTCCTTTGAAGCATTATCTGAGAATGGTTGAGTCAGAACATCTCTTCTGGTAGCGCTTCATTTAAAGTGATTTTATACAAGTCCCTTATACGCTATGAGGGCTTGGGGAAATCAATCCTTACATACGACTAGAGGTGACGTCCACTGGGAAGAAAAAGGAGGGACGAAGAAAGAGCAACTTCCTCGCTACAATTTCCAATACAAACTAAATATTGAAGGTAGAGGTTTAAGAAAAGAAATGATGCAGCTCTATTTAGTACAACTAGTACTAATAATACAATCTCCATTACAATCTTCTATAGGCACCAAACTGAAATGTACTCAAGGCCAAGGCACTAATGACGCGATTCCTTTGTGACATGGAGAAACCCTTCAGTTCTGCTGTATGAACTTCTGTTTGGTAGTTTTCAATAAAATGAGAAGCAACCATTGCTCAAACCAATACTGATGCTGCATAGCTCAACAAATGACACAACAGACAATGTCTATGCCTAAATGAAACATCTCTACAACATATAAAAAAATCAATATTTTAGCTTTTTCCAAATGTGTTATCATATTTCTTAAATCCTAAACTTATATGAAGCGTCTTTGAAATTATTCTAATTGCATGAGATTGAGGTTGCAGAAAAACAATGAAAACAACTATAGTCAAATTGGAATTAAAGCGGGCATATTCAGACAACAGCCTTGTTTAATATGTGGATTAATAATACATTTTCCGAATGATCTACTCTGACAATCCCTCTCCTCCCACAGGTTTTGAGTGAGGCTTTGCTGCTGACGAATTGATGCTGAAAAGAGCATGTTTGCTTCTCTAAGGACAGGACGAGATGGACACTGTTATCCATTTTTTATACTTGTTGAGGCACTAAGCAAGGCATCAAGCTGTTTGATAAGGAACTACATGATGGACAATATTAAACCAATGAATAAGAAATTAGACTTATTGTGATTATATAAAATGCATACGGCTATGAGAGAATACAGAAAATCTAATAACAATTTGAAAAAAATCTAGAAATACTTTAATTAAAGGTGGGGTATGTAATTTATTTCAGAAACACTTTTTGTTATATTCCATGGAATGCTCTTAACATCCCGATAGCAATGAATACATTAAATGCTTTGACAATAAATACATAAAAATATTTCATCTGTGGAAGCGGTAGTACTGTAAAAAGCACGACCAATCATCTGAGCCGGCCTGGCTAAAATAACTGGATGGCCTACCTGCCTGTCAGCCTTCCATCTGTGCACAAACTTATCTCGTGCCCTCATTGGTCATGTGCGCGTTTGTGTGTGTTGGAGGAGGGGCTCTATAAGGAAG